ATATAGCATGACTGAGCATTAATATGAAATCATCAGCGAGGAAAAATGTCATTTAAAATCCCCTAAGGGTTCGAACAGTTGGCACGAAGCCCAAACATGGCATTTAGCCCAAAGTATAATAATATCAAACAATTAGCTACCAAATATACAGAAAAATAGTCATTCGGGATGGACTAAGTCACAATCACCAACGGTGCACGATCCCACGCTCGTCATCTAGCGTGTGCGTCACCTCAACACAGCCGAACGTTGTGTAATCCGGGGTTTCATACCCTTAGAACAATATTTAAAATCATTACTCACCTCGAACTAGCCCGAAAGCTACTCTGCAACACGCTTGCCCCTCGAACCAACTTCCGAGTGCTCCAAATCTACCAAGTTCAGATTTTTATCATCAAATTATACTAAACGAATAAATTCCAACTGAAAAATATCGATTTTAAGCACAAAATCCGAAATCAGTCTGTGACGACCCGACCCGTCGTCTCATGTATTACCGCCCCATTTTTCCCATTTATTGCTTCTTCATGTTTCATTATCGGCATTTGGTAAGTTAGAGTCGAATCGGTTTGGTTTTAATAGAAAATGAGACATTTAGTCTCTTTAAGGAAGGCTTGTAATGGAAAAGTCAACCGGATGTTGCCTATTGAGTTAGAGGGCTCGGATATGAATTCCGATGATTTGGTTAGCTTCGGGGGATGATTTGTGACTTAGGAGTGTAATCAAAAGTGATTTTGGAGGTCCGGAGTAGAATTAGGCTTGAATTGGCGAATTCCGGTTGATAGGTGAGATTTTGATCCGAGGGTCAAAATGGAATTCCGAGAGTTGCAGTAGCTTCGTTAGGTGATTTGGGATGTGTGTGCAAAATTTCAGGTCATTCGGAGGTGATTTGGTTGGATTTTTTATCGAATGCGTATTTCGGAAGTTTTTGAAAAACTTAGGCTTGAATTCGATGAGAAATGATGGTTTTAGTGTTGTTAGAGGTGTTTTGATGATTGGAGCAAGTTTGACTAAGGTATTGGATCATGTTTGTATTTTTAGTTGAGGTCCTGAGGGCCTCGGGGTGATTTCGGATAGCTAACGGGACGAAATTTGGAGTTTAAGGACTGCTGAGTGGTTTGGTATCTGGTATTTTCGATTCTGCGAAAATGGACCGCAGAAGTAGTTCCGCAGAAGCGTATGAGGAGTCGCAGAAGCGAGGTTGGGCATTTTGGAGATTTCCACAGGAGCGGACTATTTCCCGCATAAGCGGCTTCCGCAGAAGCGGTTAGTGACCGCAAAAGCGGTCCAAGACAATAAGTGAGATTCCGCAAAAGCAGAAAATGACCGCAGATGCGGTTGTCGCAGAAGCGACAAAGGACCGCAGAAGCGGAAACAACTGATCAGAAGTGGGTTTTAATCCCTTCGCGAAATTTTACAGAAACACATTTTTAACTTCGGACTTGGGGTGTTCTTGAGCGATTTTGAAGAGGAAATTCAAGGACTTCGATCAGGTAAGCATTCTCGGACTTAGAACACAATTTTATCATGCAAATACATGAAATCACACTGAAAATTCAAGGAATTAGGGTCAAAAATGGTAGTTTAGGGCTTGAAATCTAAGAGAACAAAAATGGGAATTTGAGGGGTCATTTGGACTCCGATTTTGGTGTTCTTTATATGCATGGACTCGTGGCGAGATAAGGAATCCGGTGATGTGAATTTTATAATTTTTTGAGAAGTGGGCCTGGGGCTCGGGTTTTGCCAACTTCGTGATTTTCGATGTTTTTCGAGTCTTTTCGATTGGGTTATATTCCCTTAGCATATTGTGACGTATTCGTTGTGGTTTTGGTCAGATTCAACGCACGAAGAGGTGAATTCGAAAGGCAAGGGCATAGCAATCTAGGACCTTGGCTGGCTTGAGGTTAGTAATAAATGCAAATGCTGTGTTGAGGGTTTGAAACCCCGAATTTGCATAACGTAGTGCTATGTGAGGTGACTTGCACGCCGGATAACGGACGTGGGGTAGAGCACCGTCAGGGATTACGACTCGGTCCGTCCCGCTTAATAAAATTGATACCTATTTGATTGTAGATTTGTAATATCCTTATAAAAATGGATTAATTGTCATAATTGGGCTTCGTGCCAACTACTCGAATCCTTCAGGGATTATTTTAATGGTTTCTTACCATATTTATAAATATTAAACTCAGTCCTGGTATTTAATACTGTGTTTGAAATCTCAGCCATTTTCTTAAATTAGAAATTAAGTTAATATTTTTAAATGAAGTTTGGGTTGAATATTTTTATACTATTGTGTGATTTTTGGACTGAGTATGGGATCGGGCTGCACGTCGCAGCAGTATTATATTGATATTGATTTGAGGCTTAGGGCCTAATGGATGCCACGAGATGGCTTGATATTGCGCTTGGGCCGTAAGGGGCCCCTCCCGGAGTCTGCACACCCCTAGTGAGCGCCGTCGACGTTAAATAAATGGAGCGGGTTGCACGGCCACAGTGGGGTACTGGAGGTACCAGTTTATGTGTTGCATTGCATATTTAATTGTTATTTATTTCTTTATTTGTTGTGATGTTTATTCTAACTGTATTGTCGTTTAATGGTATTTTAGCTTTACGTTGTGTTTATTTAGGATTTCTTATCCTCAGACCTTATTTATATTTATTACTTTCTGAGTTGGAAGTACTCACAATACTCCCTGCACCTTGTGTGCAGATCCAGGTACACCAAAGGGTGAGTGAGGGCTTGTTAGCTGAGCAGCGATTATCTGGGAGTGTCGAGGTAGCTGCATGGCGTTCGCAGCCTTGATCTCTCCCTTCTATCTTTTATTATTTTATTCGTATTATTTTCCTAGTCGGACTTGTAATAGGTATATAAGCTGCTTCTAGAGGCTCATGTTCGTGACACCAGATTCTGTGGGCTATTTAGTATTTTATTTTGGGGTTTCGAATGTTAGAGATTATATCAGAATTTCCGCACTTAATTGGTATTATAGTAGTGAACATTTATTTATTTATTTAGATTATTTGGCTAAGGTTGCGTAAATGGTCGGGCTTGCCTAGCAATGTGTTGGGCGCCATCACGACCGGGGTTTGGATCGTGACAAGGTGGTATCAGAGCCTAGGTTACTTGGTCTCGCGAATCATGAGCCGGTTTAGTAGAGACTCGCGGATCGGTACGGAGACGTCTGTACTTATCCTCGAGAGGCTGCAGAACCTTTAGGAAATACTCCATATTCCTGAAACTCTTGTCGTGCGGTTTTGTTGAACTGTGAACTAAATCTTTGTTATTCTATTCTCTCACGGATGGTGAGAACACGAGCTACCGAACGTGACGGACGACCACCGGTGCCACCTACTGAGGCCGTGGGCGCGGTCGTGGTCGTGGCAGAGGTATAGTAGCCGGGACAGTACCTGCTAATCCTATGATTGCCCCAACTCAGGATCAGGCTCCAGCGGTGGAGACTCCAGCAGCACCTGCTCAGGCACCAGCTGTGCCTATTGTGATTCCGGGTCTTCAGGAGACCTTGGCACAGATCTTGACGGTCTGTACTGGTTTGGCTCAAGCAGTTTCAGCCACCACAGCAGCAGCGGCTACTTCACAGACCGGGGGAGGCAATCAGACCCCCGATGATCGCACACCTGCGCAGGGAGTGCAGGGGCTACAGACACCGGAGGCACCTCCAGCTCAGCAGGTTGCACCAGCTCAGGGTTTTGTGGTTCCAGCTATGCTAGACGATGAGCAGCGTCGTCTCGAGAGGTTTGGTAGACTCCAGCCTCCGACATTCGGTGGTGCTGAGGGCGAGGATTCCTAGAGTTTTCTTGACAGATGCCAGCGTATGCCCCGTACGGCAGGGATCCTTGAGTCGAGTGGTGTGGCATTTACTACTTTTCAGTTCACGGGGGATGCTCTTACTTGGTGGGAGGACTTTGAGAGGCGTAGGCCTGCCGGTGCAGCGAGAGTTGGGTACTCACATCCGATCCCTCTAACACATAAGTCAACATCCGATTGACTTTTCCAACTTAAGCCTTCTTAAAAGAGACTAAGTGTCTCAAACCTTTTCAAAACCTTTCCGAACCCGAGCCAACCGACCCGACCACATATAAAACCGATAATTAAGTCAAATAGAAGGAGAAATGGGGGAAACGGAGCGTTAACTCATGAGACGACCGGCCGGGTCGTCGCAATAATAATAATAATAATAATAATAATAATAATAATAATAATAATAATAATAATAATAATAATAATAGTAATAGTAATAGTAATAATAATAATACTGCAATAATATTATTTGTAAGCAGATACACGATTTGGCTTGAGTCGTGCTGGGCACTGTCCTAAGAAACTATTTCAGCAATGTGAAATGTTTCCGTAGGATCAAACAAGCCCATCTCTATTTATTTAGAGGATACAGGAATCAGAAAAATTAAATAATAAATCCAGCAAGTTGGAAGAGAAAGAGCAACTAATATCTTATGCCAATCAAAATATTATAGAAGAAGAAATTAGAAGGAGATTGACGTATATGAGGGAAAGAAGATAGAAGAATTTCTTGTTTTGCTAATGATTAGCTTTTCTTGGTGTTTTTTTTATTGAAGAATGATGGCCTAATCATGGTGCGAACTACTGTACAGTTGAATTAGTTATCATTAGTGCTAATTGTAGTTAATCCGTGTATTAGCTTAGATAGTCAGCAGAGTAGTTAATTAGTTACATGTGGGGCCCAGTGGCTAAGTTAGTACATGTATATAGTGTATTTCTCTATTCATTTTTTACACAAGAAGAAAAATTCATTTCTCTCAACTGCCAACCCCTTTCTCTTGAGTTCATCTTCATCTCAGATCCAATCTCAATTACTTGATGAATCTGGAGTTTGATCTCAGATTCATCAAGCTCACATGGTATTAGAGCAGTAAAGAATTATAATCCGCAAATTTAGTTCAATTCAGTTGAGATCTCATAGTCGTCTTCTTCGCGAAGCTGCAACAGACAGTCGTCAATGGCAGCTGAAAAAATTAACCACACACATCCTTTATTTGTTCATCCTTCGGACACTCCTAGCTCAATTCTGATTCCTGTCAAGCTCACAGGTTCAGAGAACTATGGGTTGTGGCGTCGTTCAATGAAAATTGCATTACAAGCTAAAAGGAAGCTAGGTTTTGTGCTTGGGACATGCAAAAAGGATTCGTTTAAATTTGAATTACATGAGGACTGGGAAACATGTAATGCAATAGTGCTCTCCTGGATCATGAATATAGTTTCTCCAGATCTACTTAGCGGTATTGTCTATGCATCTAATGCACACCTAGTGTGGGAAGATCTAAGAGAGAGATTCGACAAGGTGAATCGTGTGCGAATTTTTCAGTTACATAGAGAAATTGCTACTATTGCTCAGGGAACAGAGTCAGTTTCTGCATATTTCACCAGGTTGAAGGAACTGTGGGCTGAGTATGATGCCATGGTGCCCGTACCTAATTCGAAAGAATATGTTGAACATTTGCAACACCAGAGGTTGATGCAGTTTCTGAGTGGCCTTAATGAGACATATGAACAAGTGAGGCATCAGATCTTAATGAAGACTATGGAGCCAACACTAAATCAAGCTTATGCGTTGATTATAGAAGATGAGAGTCAAAATGCTAGCACTCATACAATCTTTCCAAATAGAGGAGATCTAGTTGCTATGCAAGCAGGTAGAGGACAAGCACCTATGCAGAACATCAGGGGACAGTACAAGGGAAAGAAGCCATTTCTGAAATGTGATTACTGCAACAAGCCTGGACATTCCAAAGAAAACTGCTACAAGTTGGTTGGCTATCCAACTGATTTCAAAGCCAAGCAACCATATGCAGCAAACATGACAACTGGTGGTCAGGAGAATGGAAAGCAGGCAGGTCAGGATGAAGAAGGAAGTAGCTCTGATGGATTGAAAGTAGGATCATATTTCACTGAAGATCAATACAGACATATTTTGAACATGTTGAACAGGGAAACCCCAGAGCATCAAGCTAACATGGCAGGTATTGCAACCTCCTTAATGACAAGTTTTACTTGTAAAGAATAGGTGATTGATTCTGGAGCTACACATCACATAGCTGGTGAACTAGACATAATAGACACTAAGAACAAAGTAAACAGATGTAATAGTGATCAAGTACATTTTCCCACAGGAGAAAAGTCTAGTATAACACATATTTGAGATGTTATCATAAGTGATGAATTGAAGCTGGAAGATGTCCTATTTGTACCTGAGTTTAAGTTCAATCTGATCTCAGTGTCCAAACTAACTAGGCAGTTGTGTTGCTCAGTGAATTTTTTCCCTGATTTTTGTCTATTTCATGATCTCTACAATGGCAAGGTGAGGGGGATTGGTAGAGAGAGAGGTGGTCTATACATTTTGAAGAAAAATTTCAAAGGAGATCTGGAAAGATTTGTCAAGGAAGTAAAGAAGTTTGCATCAGCTACAACTACACAAAACAATGTAGAAGTTGGAGTTTTGTGGCACAAAAGGCCAGGCCATGCTTCAGTTAGTACTATGAAGAAGTTATATTTGTTTCATAATAATTCTGTAGGAGTAATAGTGAATAATGATTGCCCTGTATGCCCATTAGCAAAACAAACTAGACTGATATTCCTCAGAAGTATGAGTAGAAATGAAAATCCCTTATTTCTTTTGCATATGGATGTTTGGGGACCATATAAGTTTCCCACATATGATAAAAAGCATTTTTTCCTAACAATAGTGGATGATAATACAAGGTATACCTGGGTGCATTTGCTTCACTTGAAAAGTGATGTTTTTGTAGTATTAAAGAAATTTCTTCCCATGCTGCACACTTAATTTCAGTCTAAGGTGAAGGTAGTTAGAACAGATAATGGCACAGAATTCTTTAACAGGCACATGAATGAACTGTTTGATGCATATGTTATAGTTCATCAAAGTAGTTGTGTTTACTTTCCACAGCAAAATGGAATAGTGGAGCGGAAACATGGACACATTTTGGATACAGCAAGGGCATTGAAGTTTCAAGCAAACACTCCTACAAGATTCTGGGGTGAATGCATTAAAACAACAGTGTATGTGATAAACAGACTGCCCACTGATCTACTGAATGGAAAGGCTCCATATGAACTTCTTCATAACAGGACACCTTCACTGACTCATCTTAGAGTATTTGGATGCCTCTGCTATGCAACTAACTTGGTTAAGGAAGACAAGTTCTCACCAAGGGCAATAGCAGTTGTATTTCTTGGTTATGCAGAGACACAAAAAGGGAACAAACTAATGGACTTAAATACTAACAAGTTTTTTGTGTGCAGAGATGTCATATTCAAGGAAAATATGTTTTCTTTTCAAAATGCAAAGGGACAAATAACTACTGATGATACTCCAGGTCAGTCAGAACCTTTACAAGGTTCCTGTGGGAATATGCTTCAACAGCCAGAAGTAGCTGTAGAGAGTAATTTGGAGGAGCCTGTTGAAGAGGTGGTATTGATGACACCACAGAGATCTATGCTGCAGAACATGAAGCTGATGATGATGACCATATCCTATCAGAAACACATGCAGACATGCAACAAGGAGGAAGTGAGCACTCACCAGAAGCAGGTGTGTGACGACCCAAAGGGGTCATCACTTGTTTTCCTATTCATTCTGTGCTTCCGAGGCCTTGAAGGCCTCATTTAGGTTGCCTCGATTTGCATACGCAGTCTGGGCGCGTAGCCGGAAGGTTTAAATATGAAATTCTGTGAAAAATGCTAAATTTTGATATTAAAATAAATAAATTTGACTTCGGTCAACAGTTTGGGTAAACGGACTCGGACCCGTGATTTGACGGTCCCGGAGGGTGCGTAGGAAAATATGGGACTTGGGCGTATGCCCAGAATCGAATTTCGAGGTCCCAAGCACGAGAAATGAATTTTTGAGAAAAATTGTTTTCTGAAAATATTTAAGGAAATTGGAAATGAAAACTGATTAGAAAATGATGGTATCGGGCCCGTATTTTGGTTTCGACGCCCGGTACAGGTCTTATATATGGTTTAAGCACTTTCTATAAAGTTTGGTTGAAAACGGACGTCGTTTGACGTGTTTCAGACTTGAAATGGAAAATTTGATGTTTTGTGAAACTTGGAAGAAATCATGAAATTTGAGGCTTAATTCGATGTTTACGATGTTATATTAGCGATTTAATCGCACGGATAAGTCCGTAGGATATTTTTGAGGTTGTGTGTATGTTTGGTTTGGAGCCCCGAGGGCTCAGGTGAATTTTGGATAGGCCGTGAGTGCATTTATAACCTTTGTGAAAATGTGGCATTTCAGTTCTAAATGCGAGCTCGCAAATGCAAGAAGGGGGAATCCTGCATTGGGTCGCAAATGCGACCATCTGGTTCGAAAATGCGATGTGGAGCCAGTCGCAAATGCGACATAGAGGCTCGCAAAGGCGAAGTCTGCTGTTTCGCAAATGCGACATAATTGTCGCAAATGCGATGCTCTTGTTTTTGCCCAGTGTTCGCAAATGTGAACATGAATTCGCAAATCCCATACCAGGTCGGGGTTCGCGATTGCGAACCCCAGTTCGCAAATCCCACATCTGCAACCTGCATATTTTACACTTAGCCGAATTTTGAACCATTTTCAACATTCTTTCAAAACACAAACTTCTTGGGCGATTTTTCAAGAATAAACCTTCTTCCAAATCAATTGTAAGTTGATTTTTACTCATTTCATTCAATCTTTAAAATCATTTAACATGTTTTCAACTTAAAATCAATGATTTTCATGGGTGAAATTGGGGGTTTTGGGTAGAACCTAGGTTTTTCTAAAATTGAGGATTTGGACCTCAATTTGAGGTCCGATTTCAAAACAAATCATATATTTGGTGTCACGACCCCAGTTCACCCTCCATGAACATGTCGTGATGGCACCTAGTTCCTACAACTAGGTAAGCCTAACAGTGCGGAATAACAAACTAACATTTGCGGAATAATTAATTAAAACTGAACATACAGAAATAACAACTGTATATAAGGCCACTCGGCCTATACAACTCAAAAATATGCGGAAGTCTACAACTAAATCCCAAAACCCGGAAACTCACGGGAAAACACAGGCTAATAGAGCATAGTAATCATCTCTACACCAGAATGTCTAAACAACATAAAAAGGAAAGAAAAGGAAACCATTTGCTAAAGCCGGAATAGAGTAGAGACTCCTAGTCTGCGGACGTAGCAGATATACCTCAAGTCTCAGCTAGGTCTCTCCACCACAGGGATGATACGCCTGGGAGGAAGTACCTGAATCTGCACATGAAAGACATGCGCAGGAAGGGCATGAGTACACCACAGCGGTACTCAGTAAGTGCCAAGCCTAACCTCCGTTGGGTGGTGACGAGGAAGGTCAGGGCCCTACTGAGATAACATAATAAATAATGAGATAACAGAAACAGTTTAAATAAAGTCTACAGCGAGAATCTAAACCAGGTAAATAAGGAAGAACGGTAATAGAAAACAAAGGTAACAATACACGGAAAAACTGCTCTCAACAAGGAATGGTAGCCGGGGGATCTCTTGGTATCCCGAGGATCTCTTGGTATCCTCATCATCAACACTGGGGATCTCTCGGTATCCCAAGGATCTCTTGGTATCCTCAATAAGTAAGTCGGGGATCTCTTGGTATCCCAATATATATATATAGAATCACATGTGCTAGGGATCTCTTGGTATCCCGCACCCCCAGTCCAGATTATCTCAAGTACCGGGGGATCTCCCGGGAAGCCGTCCCGTAGTCCCAAATTAAACACACAACAACAACGATTCATAAATCTCAGAACAATGCTAAAAATTAGGACACGAAGTAGTAAATTACAGCCTAACATGCTTCACGGAGTACAAATAGCACAGTTAAAGCAAATAAGCAAGTAAGCCAGCTAAACATAAGTCCCTAAGCTAGCACAGGTACAAACTTACAGTTAAAAGAAATAAGTAAACAAGAAATCTCAATTTAAATACTTCAAGTAGAAAAGGATTTACAACAATTAGCTCAAGTACGCACTCGTCACCTCACGTACGAGGCATTCAAATATTCAAGATCATATCCTAAGGGAAAAGGTCCCCCACACAAAGTTAGACAAGCCACTTACCTCGAACTGGTTCAATATCAACTAGAAACCACGCTCTTTCCACGAGTATCCGACTCCAAATGGACCAAATCTATTCAATTCAATTACACATTGTAAATAATATTGCAAACAACTGATTCCGCTATTAAAATTAAAGCTAGGGCACGAAATAGATAAAATGACCAAAACGCCCCTCAAGCCAACGCCTCGGAATCGAATAATTTTCATATTTTTAGAACCCTCGTACCCTGACGAGTCCAACCATATAAAAATCTCCCAAATCGGAGGTCAAATGCCCACTCAAAACTCAATAGTTTAGGTAATGAAGTTTTACCCCAAATTATCCAATTTTTTATCCTAAATTCGAATTCCGATGATGTATTTAACTATATAATGATGAAATATAACAAGAAGGGACAAAAGAAACATTACCCAGTGATCTTCACTTCAAAACCCACTCAAAATCTCCTTAAACCAAGCTCTCAATTGATTTTGCAAACTTATGAAATTAAACCCTCGACATTTCTATTTCTGCCCAGGGATTTCCGCTTCTGCGGACAAGTGACCGCTTCTGCGGTCCCGCTTTTGCGGAACACTGGCCGTTTCTGCGGCTTCCTTTAAAATCTCAGCTTCCGCTTCTGCGGTTCCTATCTCGCAGAAGCGGATCCGCTTCTGCGGAATTCCTACCGCTTATGCGGTTTCTTGGAAGGTGACCAAAAATCGCTTCTGCGAAGCCAAGGCCGCTTTTGCGGCTCCGCTTCTGCGGTTCCCAAGCCGCAGAAGTAAAAGATACCAGAAGCAGCAGAACTGCTGCCTCTTAACTTCCAAACTTCTTCCATTAACCACCCAAAATCATCCCGAGGCCCCCGGGACCTCAACCAAAAGCACCAATACCACCTAATACCTTATTCAAACTTGTACCAATCTTAAAAACACCTAAAACAACACCGGAAACCCGATTAAATCGAGGATTCAAGCCTAGGAACTTCAATTTCCAACAAAACACGCTTTCGATCAAAAACCTACCCGAACCTCGTTCGAATGACCTGAAATTTTGCACACACATCCCAAATGACATGACGGAACTGCTGTAACTTCCGGAATTCCAATTCGACCCTCGGATCAAAAACTCACTATTGGACCGGAAACTTCAAAAATTCAAACTTCGGCATTTCAAGCCTAAATAAGCTACAGACTTCCAAAATACATTCCGAACACGCTCCCAACCCCGAAATCACCTAACGAAGCTAACGGAACCATCAGATTTTCCATTCCGAGGTTGTCTTCACACTATTCCGACTACAGACCATTTTCAACACTTAAGCTCTCATTTAGGGACTAAGTGTCCCAAAACACTTCAAAACTTAACACCGAACGTCCCGGCATACCAAAATAGCAGAAATGAACTTAGGGGAAGCAGTTAATGGGGGATCGGGGTGTAAATTCCAAAAACGACCGGCTGGGTCGTTACATTTGGGTTCGTGGGGGAATGGGTATCCGGGTTTTGGTTCGAACCTCAGGTTTTGACCACGTGGTCCCGGGGGCAATTTTGGAATTTTGGGTAAAACTTTAGGAAATTCATTTTATGCATTTAAATTGATTCATTTAGCGTTTATTGATGTAATTAAGTAACTTGTGACTAGATTCGAGCAGATTGGTGGTGGAATCGAGGAGTAAAGCCATAATTGAGACTTGAGTTGAATTCAAAGCATCGAGGTAAGTGTTCGGTCTAACCTTAGCTTGAGGGATTAGGAGTTGAGTCCTATTTGCTATGTGGTAATTGTCAAGTACGACGTATAGGCAAGGTGACGAGTATCTATACGTTGGTGTCAAGCATGACCATGAGTCCTATATTGTGATTTCCATGACTTTGTTGTATTATTCATGCCTTGGTGATTATTTCTATTTGTTGTGCAAAGTTGTGGAAAGAATCGTGACTTATGGATATTGAGGAGCGTTGGCTCCAGTCGTAGAACGCATTGCGAAAGTATAAGTGATAATTGAACCTCTAGAGCANTTTATGGTTGGTGAGCGGGTATTGCTCCGAGTGTCGCCCATGAAGGGCGTGATGAGGTTTGGGAAGAAGGGCAAGCTTAGCCCAAGTTTCATTGGCCCGTTTGAGATCCTTGATCGAGTGGGAGAGGTGGCTTATGGACTTGCTTTGCCGCCGAGCTTATCAGTCGTGCATCCAGTGTTTCATGTGACCATGCTTCGGAGATATCACGGCGATCCAGCCCACGTGTTAGATTTCAACACTGTCCAGTTGGACAAGGATTTGTCTTATGAGGAGGAGCCAGTAGCTATTCTAGACCGGCAGGTTCGTCAGTTGAGATTCAAGAGTTTTTCTTCTGTCCGTTCGAGGACGAACAGTTGTTTTAGAAGTGGAGAATGTGACAACCCAAAGGGGTCATCACTTGTTTTCTTATTCATTTTGTGCTTCCGAGGCCTTGAAAGCCTCATATAGGGTCGCCTCGATTTGCGTGCGCAGTCCGGGCGCATAGCCGGAAGGTTTAAATATGAAATTCTGTGAAAAATGCTAAATTTTGATATTAAAATGAATAAATTTGACTTCGGTCAACATTTTGGGTAAACGGACCCGAACCCGTGATTTGATGGTCCCGGAGGGTGCGTAGCAAAATTTGGGACTTGGGCGTATGCCCAGAATCGAATTCCGAGGTCCCAAGCCCGAGAAATGAATTTTTGAGTAAAATTGTTTTCTGAAAATATTTAAGGAAATTGGAAATGAAAACTGATTAGAAAGTGATGATATAGGGCCCGTATTTTGGTTCCGGTGCCCGATACAGGTCTTATATATGGTTTAAGCACTTTCTGTAAAGTTTGATTGAAAACGGACGTCGTTTGACGTGTTTCGGACTTGAAATGGAAAATTTGATGTTTTGTGAAAGTAGGAAGAAATCATGGAATTTGAGGCTTAATTCAATGTTTATGATTTTATATTAGCGATTTAATCGCACGGGTAAGTCCGTAGGATGTTTTGACGTTGTGTGTATGTTTGGTTTGGAGCCCCGAGGGCTCGGGTGAATTTTGGATAGGCCGTGAGTGCATTTTTAACCTTTGTGAAAATCTGGCATTTCGGTTCTGGTATCTTCGCAATTGCGAAGAAGTTCTCGCAATTGCGAAGAAGTTCTCGCAAATGCGAGAAGGGGGAATCCTGCATTGGGTCGCAAATGCGACCATCTGGTTCACAAATGCGATGTGGAGCCAGTCGCAAATGCGACATAGAGACTCGCAAATGCGAAGTCTGCTGTTTCGCAAATGCGACATAATTGTCGCAAATGCGATGCTCTTATTTTTGCCCAGTGTTCGCAAATACGAACATGACTTCGCAAATCCCATACCAGGTCGGAGTTCGCAATTGCGAACCCCAGTTCGCAAATCCCACATCTGCAACCTGCATATTTTACACTTAGCCGAATTTTAAACCATTTTCAACATTCTTTCAAAACACAAATTTCTTGGGCGATTTTTCAAGAACAAACCTTCTTCCAAATCAATTGTAAGTTGATTTTTACTCATTTCTTTCAATCATTAACATCATTTAACATGTTTTCAACTTAAAATCAATGATTTTCATGGGTGAAATTGGGAGTTTTGGGTAGAACCTAGGTTTTTCTAAAGTTGGGGATTTGGACCTCAATTTGAGGTCCGATTTCAAAATATATCATATATTTGGGTTCGTGGGGGAATGGGTATCCGGGTTTTGGTTCGAACCTCAGGTTTTGACCACGTGGTCCCGGGGGCAATTTTGGAATTTTGGGTAAAACTTTAGGAAATTCATTTTATGCATTCAAATTGATTCATTTAGCGTTTATTGATGTAATTAAGTAACTTGTGACTAGATTCGAGCAGATTGGTGGTGGAATCGAGGAGTAAAGCCATAATTGAGACTTGAGTTGAATTCAAAGCATCGAGGTAAGTGTTCGGTCTAACCTTAGCTTGAGGGATTAGGAGTTGAGTCCTATTTGCTATGTGGTAATTGTCAAGTACGACGTATAGGCAAGGTGACGAGTATCTATACGTTGGTGTCAAGCATGACCATGAGTCCTATATTGTGATTTCCATGACTTTGTTGTATTATTCATGCCTTGGTGATTATTTCTATTTGTTGTGCAAAGTTGTGGAAAGAATCGTGACTTATGGATATTGAGGAGCGTTGGCTCCAGTCGTAGAACGCATTGCGAAAGTATAAGTGATAATTGAACCTCTAGAGCATTGGTTCGAGTTGTGAAGTGAATTTTAAAGTAAAAGTGCGAAGAGAAAAGATCATTATGTTGTNTTAGATGTTGTAACAAGATCGGTTATAGCTGCGGTAGTTAGATGTTGGGACAAGTGTGGTTATAGATGTTTCTCCCTTGCCGGGACGTAATTACTCATGCTATCGAATCCCTTGTCGGGATAGTGTGGACCTTATCGATCCCTTGTCGGGACTCTCATTATAATTGTAAATATTATATATGGATCGGGTTGCACGTCACAACAATATCATATATGGGTCGGGTTGCACGCCGCAACAATATTAAATATGGATCGGGTTGCACGCCGCAACAACATTATATAAGGATAGGGTTGCACGCCGCAACAGTGTTATACACGGATCGGGTTGCACGCCACAACAAAGATATAATGAAATGTGAGCGGGTGGTACGCCTACCACGAGATATAATAAAATGGGAGCAGGTGGTACGCCTACCACGAGATATAATGAAATGTGAGCGGGTGGCACGCCTGCCACGAGATACAGAAAATGGGAGCGGGTTGCACGCCTGCAACAAGATGTGAAAGGAAAGTGAATTCTGCCTTTGTTTTCTTTATTCTTGGTAGTGGTTGGGTTTTGTTTACTTTATAGTTCTCTTGATATTCTGTTTTTACCTGTTATTCCCCGGAGCATGTTTTCCCCTCCCACCTCTACTTGTTTATTCGTGCTTTACTTTCCCTTGTATATCATATCACTGTACAGGTTTATTTGGTGGTCTGGTCCTAGCCTCGTCACTACCTCGTCGAGGTTAGGCCAGACACTTACTAGCACATGGGGTCGGTTGTGCTGATACTACACTCTGTGCTCTTTTGCACAGATTCAGGTGTCGGGAAGCAGCTGCAGTAGCGCGGGAGTTAGCTTCAGTTTTGCGAGACACCAAGGTAGCCTTGCAGGCGTCCGCAGACCCGTTGTCTCTTCTATCTTTTATTTCAGTCTGTTATCTCATGTATTTCGAGACAAACCATTACATTTTCTTTCAAACGGTTGTATTTAGCACTCTTAGTAGTTCGTGAGTATGTGATACCAGTTCTTGGGTAGAGGTTTATGTTGATTTTCCGCATTGTTGTTCGGATTCTTTAATTCAAGACTTCCGCTTATTTATTTTCTTCCGCTATTTTCATGATATTACTGATAATTTTTAAAAGTAGTAAATTGATTAATGCTAAAGGTAGCTAAGGGTTGGCTTGCCTAGCTCTCATCAGTAGGCGCCATCACGACTCCCGAAGGTGGGAAACCCGGGTCGTGACAAGGTGAGACCAATGATGCAGATGCAGAGGCAGAGGTAGAGGCAACAAATAGTAATGTAATCCCAGAACAACATGTGGTGGTAGAGGAAATTGAAGTTCCTCCAACAATCATTCAGCAAGGGACTACTGAGGCAAGAAAGTCCAAGAGAACCACAAAGGAACCTATATGGTTACAGGACTATGTGACCACAACAAAAGGAAATTCCTCCTATCTACTGTCTAACTATCTATCTTATAGCAAGTTAACTGACACATGCAGGAGTTTTGTGACAAGAATCTCAGAGTTGACAGAACCAAAGACCTTCAGTGAAGCATGCAAGGACAAGAGATGGCTTGAAGCTATTGAAGTTGAAATTAAAGCTTTGGAGGGCAATCAAACCTGGGATGTTGTTGATCTTCCAAAAGGCATGAAGGCCATTGGCTCAAAGTGGGTATACAAGATCAAGTATAAAGCAAATGGTGAGATATAGAGGTTTAAGGCCAGGTTAGTAGCCAGGGGCTATAGCCAAAGAGAAGGGCTAGACTACAATGAAATATTTTCACCTGTTGCCAAGATGGTAACTGTGAGTTCAGTCATTGCTTTGGCTGCTTTTAAAGGATGGTCTATATCACAAATGGATGTATATAATGCATTCTTACAAGGGGATCTATATGAAGAAGTATACATGGAACTCCCTCAAGGCTTTAGGAGACGGGGGGAGACAAAAGTCTACAAGTTATTAAAGTCACTATATGGGCTTAAACAGGCTTCTCGCCAATGGAACATTAAGCTCAGTGAAGCACTAACAGCTGCAGGGTATGTTCAAAGTTTACATGATTATTCACTGTTCACAAAAAGGAAAGGAGATGATTTTGTAGCAGTGTTGATATATGTGGATGACCTATTGATTACTGGAAACTGTGAGGAGTTCATTAATGAGACCAAAGTTATTCTTCACCAGAAGTTTAAGGTGAAGGATCTTGGTGAACTCAAATATTTTCTGGGAATTGAAGTCATGAGGTCCAAGGAAGGGATATTGTTGAATCTAAGAAAGTACTGTCTTCAACTCATTTCTGATTTGGGATTAAGTGGTGCTAAGCCAATTTCCACTCCAATAGATCTCAACCAAAAATTCACCTCTGCTGAGTTTGACAAACATACTGGGACTGCAGGAGATGAAGTTCTAGCAGATGCAAGTTAATATCAAAGACTGATTGGTCGACTGATTTATTTTACTGTCACGCGAATAGATATTGTGTTTGCAGTTCAAACGCTCAGTCAGTTCATGTAGGAGCCCAAAAGGTCTCATTGGGATGCTGATATGAGAGTAGTCAAATTTTTTGAAGCATGAGCCAGGCATGGGAGTACTTCTAGGCAGCACTGAAGCAGATTGTTTAATGCGTTTTTGTGATGCAGACTGGGCGAGTTGTCCAAATACAAGAAGGTCTGTTACTGGATACTTAGTCAAATTTGGGAATTCACTTATCTCATGAAAATCCAAGAAGCAGCATACAATGTCAAGAAGCTCTGTAGAAGCAGAGTATCGAAGCCTGGCAGCTGTGACAGCAGAAGTAGTCTGGTTATTGGGACTGTTTGCTGAACTTGGAGTGCCCATCAAGCAGCCTGTAGAAGTCTATTGTGATAGCAAAGCTGCTCTTCAGATTGCAGCCAATCCCATCTTCCATGAACGTAACAAACATATTGAAATCGACTGTCATTTTGTACGCGACAAAATTAAACAAGGAGTTCTTTGCACGCAGTATGTGGGGACTAAAGATTAGCCAGTTGATCTTCTTACCAAAGGTCTTGGACATTCACAGCATACATTTTTACTAGGCAAGCTTGGAGTGCTCAATATTTTGCACCCTCCAGCTTGAGGGGGAGTGTGAACTACTGTACAGTTGAATTATTTATCATTAGTGCTAATTGTAGTTAATCTGTGTATTAGCTTAGATAGTCAGCAGAGTAGTTAATTAGTTACATGTGGGGCCCAGTGGCTAAGTTAGTACATGTATATAGTGTATTTCTCTATTCATTTTTTACACAAGAAGAAAAATTCGTTTCTCTCAACTGCCAACCCCTTTCTCTCGAGTTCATCTTCATCTCAGATCCAATCTCAGTTACTTGATGAATCTGGAGTTTGATCTCAGATTCATCAAGCTCACACATGTCTATATATAGGCCAAAGGAAAGCTTCTACATAAGACATCTGTTTTACTTACTTGTCAAATTTCCTTCATGCAAGATGACAACACATTCCATGCAAAATGACACTTGGCTTAGAAAGGCCATTTGTCAAGCAATTTTTTAAAAGAATGCCACATGTAAAAACTCTTGCCATGTACAAATTACTTGTCAAATTTCCTTCATGCAAGATGACAACACATTCCATGCAAAATGACACTTGGCTTAGAAAGGCCATTTGTCAAGCAATTTTTTAAAAGAATGCCACATGTAAAAACTCTTGCCATGTACAAATTATGTAAGAGTATTTGGCCACAAAGCTTCATGCAAAAAGCCACTTGGAAATAGATATGACACTTGTAAAATAAAAAGATACATGGCTATTATAAAATTTTGAAAATACTTCCAAAAATAATGCTAGTTTTTGTTAGTGAATTTTATTTAACGAAACCTATGAAATCCAAAAGTAATTACTCGACCATTGGTATGTTTGTGAACATTCCATCTCAAAACCTTGAATCAGTAAGTTCATGGATACAAACATGTCTTCACTTAATTTAGACAATTAAGATAAATTCTAATATCGTCTTTTTTTTTTAATTGAGAAATTGTCTTGATTGCTTGCCTCATCCTATAATAATCCATCGTACCTTCACATAAACGTCATCGGATTATAATAATTAGGACAAATTCATATCGCCTTGTCTCCTTCCAGTATTCTTTTCTGCACACCAAACAACCCATTACTTTTATCTTTCTAATCATTAAACATAATTAATCGCTAAAACAACTACTACTATAAATATTTAAAGGAAAAAGAAGAAGATAATCCTCTAACTTAATAGTACATCATTTTCATAGAGTTGAATGGAAAAGGACTTCACAGATTTATTTTGGCATATGAAAGCTCAAGATAACAATTTATCTTTGATTTTTGTTTTCCTTTATTCTCTTATTAGTTGGCAAGAAAACTAATATTCAATGCGTACTAAATTGATCTGTATCTTTCGTGGGATCTACCAATCATTATAAGGATATATACTTAGCAATTTACTTTCGACGTGGTTCATGCAACGATATTAGAATGATTATTATACGGATTAAGTTGTGCTATACTTTTTTTAAAGATAATTGTGGTATCTGCACCACAACTTATAGGCATGCATTTCGACTGATTTTACGTAATATCTGCTACCTACCACTAGTATAGATACCGCATCACTCTGCCCACCAAAATTTAAACATAATCAATATAATATTTTAAGCAAACTTACGGTATGTTTATTAATGACCTTGATAGATTAAGTTAATCTAAAACAAAAATTTTAATTGAGATGAACACAAAATATCATCAACAATTGATCTTTGAGGTTTCACTAAGATTAATTAAATTATATGTCTTCATTTAATTAGATGACGGCAATAAATAATTGTTAAGATTTTTTTTCTAATCATATATGTACTGTCTTCTGATTTGTCACATCAACAATATGATATTTTGGAGTAACGTGTTATTTCCAACTTTTAGGATGAAGTTTATTATTTGAGCAAAACCTTTGATACAACGTAGAAACATAAATACATGGATAATAATTTTTTTTTCCCATTCGGTGTCAGTTGTAATCATTTTGGGGTCTGAATAATGGGAATTTACACCCAAAAATTCCACTTTGAGGGTAATGGAGGCCAAATACGACTCCATTCATAAGGTTCGCACTCAAAACCTCTTGTTAAGATGGAGGAGTACTAACCATCTCACTACAATCTTTCGTAATAATACATGAATACCATATATTTACGGTGCTTCACTTACTATGCTTCAGTCAAAGTATTTAACAATTTATTATTGTGATCATTCCTCAGAAAAAACAGAGCTGGCTGGAGCCTAAGTAGGCCCCCAAAATACTTAGGGCCCAAAATTTATAAATAATATTTAATAATTATGCACTATTGATTGAATTTTTAAGTTATTTGGTTAAAATAATTATATCTAAAAGTTTTACAGATCTTAAATTATAGTTACTAGTTGTTTCATGTCTTTAATTCATCCTAATTTAAATTGATCTTCTTACAATGTTAGTTTAGAACAATTTTTCTTAGTTCTTTGAGTGCCTTTGTGGACATTTTTCAAGCTACTTTGATAAGTAACTATTAAAATTCGCCCTTAAGATTGAATGACTCTTGAAACATAGTAATTACTATAGTATTATTTATTTCAACTTATATTTAGGATTAAAAGTGCTATGAGAAACTGTATAAGTAGAAGAATACTCTAATTGACAAACTCAGTCAGATAAAAAGTGTTAACTCAATTATCGTTAACAATATTTTCTATATCAATTGCCTCGATTGAAAAAGTTTTTCAAAACTAAATCAATAAAGTTCAACGTGATACCACAAGAGAGATTAAACAAATTGGTTAGACATTGACAATAATTAAAACTGATTATAACTTCTTTAGATTCGATAAATTATAGTAAAAATAAAAAAATTAATTAAAAAAATTTAAGGCCTCATTTTTTATTTTTGCCTTAGGCCCCATATTCTGTGGAGACGCCCTTGAGAAAAAATACATGTATTTAGAAAAAGTTATCATCCTTCTTTCTTAATCTTTTTTCTTTCTGAAAAACAAAATGGAAACTGGATAGTTTGTAGTAGGGGTGGGCGTTCAGGCAGTTCGGATTGCATATGAAATTTCGGTTTGGATTTTCAATTTTCGGATTGACGAAATGACAATCCAAATCAAATCCAAATAAGTTCGGGTTGGATCGGATTATTTAAGTTCGGTTTCGGATTAATCGGTTTGGATATTTTTGATTTTCGGTTTTGAGCTTATAAGTTGAGATGTCTCTTCTTTTTACAAAAATGAATATCCAAATGAAGTACTTATGTTAAATTGCCTGAAAAGTTCTTCATTCTCACAGCAATCATCCAAATGAAATATTAAAGTAATGGAATTATTATATAAAAGAAATTAAAAAAAAATACAATAAAGACGTTAATACGACAGATAAGAAGTAGAAATAGTAAAACCATGTCCAAATAGAAAATATTCTCATAATAACTTAGTAATTAATATTACATATATATGACACAACATGTGCACTATGTGACACTGAGGAAGAAGACATCCAGCATCTGCTCTTTAAATGTTCAGCTACTTCTCAAGTATGGCAAAAAATACTGGACTGGCAAGGAATTCAGAGACAAGCTATGGGATGGAAGGAAGAAGTGGAATGGGCTGGGAAAAATGCTTCTGGAAACAGTGCACGAGCAGAAATATATCGCATGGCCCTAGCAGGTAGT